CAGATGGCCAGTGTATCCCTCAGCAGCCCACGTCATTGGTCTAGAGGCTGAGCACTCTTATTAAACACATGACCTGCAAACTTCAGGACTTTAATCTGTGTGAGGATCAGCACGAGAGGCCTGTTGGATGCGAATCTGTACTGTATCAGTACTGTTGTAATGCCATGGTGTCAGCAAAGAATGACCTCTTAGATTTTTGAATGAATTCAAAAAACATGAAATGCTTGCCTTAATCACCAACTGCTGGACAGCCTCTTTTAGCCCCTAGAATAGAGGGAAAAACAGTGTAAGTTACCACAATATTTGTTCACTATATTGCCATACATAAATATTAACAAATATAGTGTTTTTACATACTTGCAAATCCCTGTCTGCGATGAGAGGCTTAGACTCAACTACTTGGATATCATCCATTCTCAACTAGGACACCTAGAGATAGGAAAAGGTGACATAAATACAACCATATTACCATTGGTGCACTTCAAATAATTTACCACAAGGTCGCAGAAGGAAGTATCAAATTACTTGTTCCTTGTTTTTGTTGTGGTGTAATTCAGCTTTGGCAGTGATTATTTACAACAGCATTATTGGAGCTCATAAGTGGATTCAAGAAAATAAGATATATTTTTCTCTGGACCATTTGTGGTGTTTTTATTTCATCATTTAAAAATGTTTTATTTGAACGTTAAAGGTTTTTGTCTCACACATTGCATGTGATGTATTGCAGTGAAATGCTTCTACCTAGTTTCTCGTTCTACAGTGCAACAGGAATAATATTAATAGACTATCAAGAATATGATATGACAAATAAAAATAAAATAAAATGTAGTCTAATATAGTAGAAACCAGAACAACAAAGCAGTTTTCAAAAACTACACAATGTATTCATTCATCATGTTATGTTTAATATGTCACTATTAAAACAATTTCATAACATTATTTTTGCAGCTGTAATCTAGGGTACATCTATTTAATGCTGTGCAATATTAAATGGTATTAATGTATGCAATGTATATGCAGCTTCTGATGCAACTCTTTTGCCATTTCCCACATATTTGGCACTTTACAGATACATTTCTTTGCATTTTGTTTTTTGATTATATCCTTAGCGTTTCAAAAGAGCCTAATCTGTTTTGGATGATGCAGATCATGCGTTTCAAAAGACGACAGTTTGAATGTTGATGCGCATGTAAATGGAATGGGAGCTTGAACAGGCTCTTTGTCTGGCTGAGGTTTCTAAAGGTCACATGTCAGGCTTTTCCTCTGTAGAGGGCCTGGACGCTACCCACAGGAAGCCACTGACACAGCTGCTTCCACGGCTCCTGCAGTCAGTCCCTCCACCCCTTTAACACTAGCCATTTTTTTTT